CCCGCCGCCCCCGCCGCCCCCAGCCGCTCCGGCCGCATCACGGGGACCGGCGTCAGTAATTAGTACGCCATTTTAAAGGAAGGTGTGGGGCAAAAGGGGGGTACATTTTTCATGATGGGTTCATTATGAGGACGCTGCGCTGGAGCTGCCCCATACCAGGAGACATGTTACTTGCCACTCTCTCTGCGCACCGTGCTGCGCATCACGATGACTACTTTGTTGTTGATGCTCTCTGTTTACCTTGCTGCACAACATGACGACCCCCCCCCCCCCCCAAATGGTGCTCTGTCCCTCCGTGATGCACAAACACGGTGACGTTCTCTGTTGTCCCCCGCATGACTCTGTTGTTCTCCGTCCCCCACTGGCACAGCCTGACTCTGCTGTTGTTCCCCTCTGCCCCCCACTGGCACAACCTAACTCTGCTGTTGTTCTCCGTCCCCCACTGGCACAATTTGACTCGGCTGTTGTTGTTCTCCGTCCCCCACTGGTACAACCTGACTCTGCTGTTGTTCTCCTCTGTCCCCCACAGGCAAAACCTGACTCTGTTGTTCCCCTCTGTCCCCCACTGGCACAACCTGACTCTGCTGTTGTTCTCCTCTGTCCCCCAGGCCGGGCCGCCCGCGAGCTGCAAGGACGGCCGCACCTGGCCGCTCACCGGCAACGAGCGCGCCGCCGTGCTGCACGCGCACAACCTGCTGAGGAACAAGATGGCGTCCGGGGGCGTACCGCCCTTCCCCAGCGCCGCCAACATGAGGCAAATGCCCGCCCCGCCCCGCCCCGCCCCGCCCCGCCCCGCCACGCCTCGAGCAGCTCCTTGGAGTATTCCTTAGCTCGTTAGCCCGGCGCCCACGCCGCCGGAGGTGGGGCAGCCCTAGCCCTCCTCCACGTCCTGGCGGCGGCGCGGGGCACGGCAGGAGAAGGAGAGCGCCCCCCTACCTCTCGAGACTCCTGACCAACAAAAAGAAAGGGTTATTTCCCGGGCACAAGGAGGAGGAGGAGGAGGAGAAGAAGGACGTGCAGCGAGCGGAGCGCGGGCCCTTTTCAATTTGCGCGCCTTTTTATTTCTCTTTCCCCTCTCTAACTCCCTTGCACTGCTTCGCAGGAGTGGGACTCGGAGCTGGAGCAGATCGCCCAGCGCTGGGCCGACCAGTGCTCCTTCGCGCACGACCAGTGCCGAGACTCAGGTGCGTTATGGTGAACACCGGCATCCTCAGACGTCATCATCGTCACCATATCGCTTGTATACAATTATGATTGTGACACTTTATTATTATTGTGGCACTGCAGTGTTGCTTCCCGCGATCACGGCCTTCGTCGTGACCATAAACACGACCATTTCATGACCATTCCTCATGCGACCACCGTCATGACCATTTCTCATGACTCATGCTGTGGCGGTGGTGTGAAGCTCAAATAATTCTTCTGGTTCACGGCGGTCACCATGACCACCACCACCACCATCATCATCATCACCTTTTCCTCTCATGTAACGACCATCATTCGTTACCACCATCTCATCTCACCTCCGCGGTCACCCAATCCTGATCGCTCGCTAAACCTGCTCTCTGATCGATTCAGGCCGCTTCACGGTGGGCCAGAACGTGGCCATCTACTTCTCGTCCGCCGCCAAGTTCCCGCCCATCGAGTCGCGGGTGCACTCCTGGTACGACGAGATCAAGGACTACACCTACCGCGACGGACCCTTCTCGTGAGTAGCGCGCAGAGAGTGCGGGGGAGGTGTGTTTAAGCAGTTGGTCGGAAAGGTACTTCAAGAGGCAACCTATCGGAGGCAAAACGGGTCGTGATCCGAGTGGTGATACAGGTAGAAATCCCGGACTGTGATCCGGGAGGTCATCGTGGAGGTTGGCATGCGGGAAGTGTTCCGCGGGGGTTAATCCAGAAGTAAATTTGTTGAGTAACAAGGAAGGAAACCTCGCAGGCCATCCGCGGGAGAAATCCGGAAGGCAGTAGGTAATCTCTGGGAGGTCAACAAAGGGGGTAAGTCCGAGGGTAAATAATCCAGTGGAGGTGGTCAAAAAAGAAGAAGAAAAAAAACTTAAAGAAAAGAACAAAAATAAACAAACTAAACCGTAGCCTGACGGAGCATCCCCATTCACTCTCCAGAATACTCGCCGTCACCGTGGCACGCCAATCATTTTAGCTCTTGCTCTGTCGCTCACGTGCGCGGCGGTCACGTTCGGCCCGTCGGGCGTCGAGCCCCTTTCTTCTGCCCCCTCCCGGGAGCGGCCGCGACGCCTGCCGCGTGCACCTTCCCTGCCGCACCCCAAGGTGAGAGGCGGCCAGAGTGACAGGGACGGCCGCCGCCGCACTGGAAACGCAAGTTTGTGAGTGTCACATACTTACTTGTATTGGTGTTTAAATGACGCACAACTAGGTGTGTGATTTTTAGAAATTTTGATGAAAATTATAGAGTCAGAAATTTTCAGTTGCAGTGTATTGTCGTGTCGCGGGCCCTTGTGCTGAGGTCATGTGACTTAGATAGAAACGTGTTGGTTCAACTGAGTTCATTTGGTTCAGGCTTGCAGATATGTAGATTTACAGAGATGGCGCCGAGGGGTTGGCGCGGGTGGGCGACTTGAATTTTTCGTGTACACAGGAGTACGGCGTACACGGAGTACAGTCGGAGAACACTGGGTATTGCCGGTCGGAGCGCGCAGAGCACACCTGGAGTCACGGTGGAGGGAGAGAAGGTGGCGGCACGAGGGTTCTGCTCGTGGGTCCAGAATCTCGACAGGTTAGGGGATTAACGCCCTAGTCGGGGCCAACTGTAGGGCCTGTTCACACTACCTTCAGTCGGGGCCTCCGTGCAGGTAGGTAGGTGGGAAGCCCAGACTCAGCTTGCGCGGGACGGGCTCGTACCTGACTTCTCTCTCGCACACTCCGGCCGGGTGAGCCGGGCGAGGGTCGGTGCCGCTCAAGCTAAGTCGGGGCGGCCCACGTACCTGCATTGGCCGCCCCGACTGCAGGTACTCTGTACCGGCACGTTAGATAGCCCCGACTCGGCCGTTAATCCCCTAACCTGTCGAGATTCTGGACCCATGGGTCCCTATGCTGGGAGACTCTCGTGCCGCCACCTTCTCTCTCTCCACCGTGCCTGGAGTACACCCGGAGAACAGTCGGAGAACACCTGGAGTACATTTTGGCCTGTACACAGAAGCCGCCCAGACGTCCACCCCTCGGATGGCGCTCTAGTAGCAGGTGGAAGGGTTGACAGCAAAACCAACTGCTAGGGTCACTCGAGTCTAGGAACAAGCCTACATTCTGCCGCTCCAGAAAAGATGAGGTCTTCCTCTCTACCACACATTAGTCTAAACCTGTAGACTCCATATGGCATGATGGGAACGTTTGGAAAAGTCCATTCCACTGGGACGTTATTGACCTCGTACACTCCCTGTAAATTTAAGTGGTTATGTATATTAAATCGACAAAAACGAAACAAGAAAACAAAAGTTTGACGAGAGCTTAGTACTTACAGGTCCGTGACTGCACACACCCTTCATTTCACTCTTTTTAAACAAAGCATCGTAGAAGAAAGGGATATTTGTTCTAAGAGCTGTGCAAGCTCTCTTTCTAAACCGAAAGACAAAGGCATTTTCCTTCCATTGATTGTTTGATCGAATATCTAAGATCACTGCAGCCTGTTATAGGAAATATTGGCATAGATACATGTCGACACCTGAAACCTACAAGCACGGAGTTCGTGGAGTCTCCGTATAAACCCGTAGTTCCAGGGAGCTCCGTATGGACACGCAGTTCAGCGGGTCTCCGTATAACGTCGTAAGTGCTTGAAAGTCACTTCTGAGATATAGCGCTTCAAAGTTTTGGATTAACATTGCGCCTTATGGGCGGCTGGATTTTCAGACCAGAATAACTTTTGAACTAATTGACATATCGAAATGCGGGTTTCGCTGATCGATAGCCCTTGGTTTCCTCTATCCGACGCACTTCATAACTTGAAATTTTCAAAAAACATACTTACGACGCTATACGGCGGCCTGCTGAACTCCGTGTTTGTACCGAGCCCCCGGGAACTGCGTGTTTATACGGAGCCGCCACGAACTCCGTGTGTATAGGTTTCAAGTGTCGATGTATGTAACCGTTTCTCAAGCAATCCTTTCATCGGGGTCTGAGGTTTTTATATTACATGTAAGCAGATTAAATCAGCAATTATTGGCTTACCGGAAGGCTGTCATCAAAAGTTCTATTTACAGCGGTAACGTTACCATTCAACAATTGTATTTCTTTTGGTTTTTGTGGGTTAAAGTGAGTAGTTCGGAGATGCCACCTCCACGGACGTGAGTGATTCTGTGATTCACTGTGTTCAAAGTCGAGAAATCGTTCGGTGACAGCTTTGTAAGGCCCCTGGACGAAAAGGATATGTGAATCATCACCGTGATCCACAGAAGACGAATAGAAATGTTACTGTATGGTCAAAAAATGAGTCCAAATTTTAAATGGGCCCTCTAAAAAGGTCATACAAACTTACAATGGAAGAAAGGATAGTTGTGCCATAGACGCCACTCTGGTTTGTAAGTACCACGACCACGAGAATAAATGCCAACATATCTTGCAGCATCGAAGTGCGACGTAGCTTCGGCCTCCTTTCGGAATGAAACCGTTTCGTAAGGTTTCCACGGTTCACCCATCTGTGCCACGCTGCAGTCGACAAGGACGTCTACACGGTACTCCCGGAAATATTTTTTATTCATGTGTTTGCCTCGCGTGAGATAGAGGTTTTGTCGACTGTCGTTTCCGCCTGTGTCGGCAGTAGACAACTGACATTAACTGATATCAATTGAACAATCAGAAATGACTTAACGCTGGCGGCAGAGCACACACAAATACACATGGACAGCTGAATACTAACAGCTATGAACACCGACAAACTGAACCCTGATCTCTTTAAAATCGTCGGCTTATTTCGTTTTATTTGGCAGACTCACTACTTGTTTTTAGTTTCGAACCAAAAGCGGCCGTCCGGTATGCTCCTCAACTTCTGACGATGCTCTAGTGCTTTGTAAGGTGCCCAGTGATAACACTTTTAGCGAACGCAGAACCAGTGCAGCTCATCTCATATATA